AATAATTATTATTATTAATTTTTATTTATATTTATTTTATCTATTTTATTTATATTTTATTATTAATGTTGTTATTTAAAATATTATCATTGTTGTTGTTATTATTATTAATGTTGCTATTTAAAACAATAATATTAATAATAATAATAATATTTATTATTATCATTATGTTAATGAATGCTGTTATAATAATAATAATAAACCTCTTTTGAAATTCTTTTCTTTAGTTGACAACATTTATAAAAGCATTCTCATTAAAAACTTAGAAAGATGTTTATCAGCCACTCAAACTCAAACAGCATTTGCAAATTTGATAATCATGCTAAACCATATCATGTTCCCAGGAATTGTTAGAATTAATAAAAATAAAAATAAAAAAAACAGCCAACTGGCATTTGGTGCTTTGGTGTGTTCATTTTAGGCCCTGTCTGCACAATATTGGTCAAACTAATTTTCAGTCATTACCTTCAACAAGTAATGACTTTAATGAAAACAGGAAAACAAAGCCAAAAACCAGATATTTTAGGCAACTTAGAAATCCCGGCCAGGACATATCCAGGACACAGAGCACATATAGCCACCTTAACCAACACTTCATCGTACCTCAGTTTTTGCTCTTTGGTTGGTTTTCAGAACGGCCAGATTGTGAGACTTGCACGTCTGCAGAGCCTGTTTCTGTTTCCGCACCAAATCCTGCTTGAGAGCTGAAACACACACACACACACACACACACACAGACAGATCACACACAGTCAACATCTTACAGTTTTCAGCATGGCCTGAAACACTCACACACATACACACACACACACACACACACACCTCTGTGCTCGCAGTGTAGTTTCTGTCTCTGGTTGTAGAGGTTTTACTCCATCAGGTGTTGAATGTCCAGCAGCCCTTGAACTATTTCATACACCGTCCCGTCGATGAGCGCTTGAGCCAGATCATTGAGCGTGGTGTAGGACAGATGCTGCTGAAACGAGCTGAAACAAACCTTTATTTCTCCAACTACAACAGCAGAGTGAGCAGAAAGAGTTTTCACTGCCAAACGATCACTAAACATTATATACATGAAGATTTGGAAGGAAAACTACAAAATCCGTTCAACTATTTGCCGTAATGCATTTTATTATATCTATTTCTGTACTTTTCTTGAAAGTTTTCATACTCATTGACAGATACTGTATTTGCTCGTTTTAATCATAAACTCACTTAATTTTGTTCATTTTCTCAGAAAACAAGACTTCATATCTTCAATTTGCATGTCCAATAAATGTATCTTGATTTAAGGATGTTTAGATATTTGCACTGTAAAACAAAAACACTGAGGATGATATTCATTTATTTGGTAGTGCATGTAATAATTTGGTAGTCCCCGCTATAATAGCAGCAACATTCACAAATGTTTACAGAACAAGCGGGAACCCAGTGTGCCTGTAGTTTTCTCTATTTCTGTGATATAAAATGTTTTCAAAACGAAGTGAATTTATGAAAAAAGAACAAATAGCCTAACATTGGGCTCATCAATTCAAAGGGAAATTCAATTCCCATTTCATACCCCATTGACAGATATTTTGTTCTTGTTTTAAACATAAACTCATTTAATTTTGTTCAGTTTCTCTGAAAACAAGACTTCATATGCTTCTGTTTTCATCTCAGGTAAATGTATCATGATTTAATGATGTTTAGATTAATATTTAATGCCATGACTTTATGAATTAAGACGTTCTGCTCTGATTTAAGACCTTTTTAAGGCCTTAATTTGTGTAATTAATACTTTTTAAGACGATGTAATGATGTGATGTGATGTGATGTAATGTTAAGTGATTATGTAATGTGATGATGTGATGTGATGTGATGTGATGATGTGATGTGATGATGCGATGCGGTGCTGTGATGTGATGCGGTGATGTGATGTGATCATGTAATGTGATGTGATCATGTAATGTGATGTGATGTGATGAAATGTTAAGTGATTATGTAATGTGATGATGTGATGTGATGTGATGCGATGTGATGATGGGATGTGATCATGTAATGTAAATGTGATGATGTGATGTGATGATGTGATGCGATGATGTGATGTAATGTTAAGTGATTATGTAATGTGATGATGTGATGTGATGTGATGTGATGATGTGATGTGATGATGCGATGCGGTGCTGTATGTAATGTGATGATGTGATGTGATCATGTAATGTGATGTGATGATGTGATGTGATCATGTAATGTGATGTGATGATGTGATGCAATGATGTGATGTAATGTTAAGTGATTATGTAATGTGATGATGTGATGTGATGTGATGATGTAATGTGATGCGATGTGATGATGTGATACGATGATGTGATGTCATGTTAAGTGATTATGTAATGTGATGATGTGATGTGATCATGTAATGTGATGTGATGATGTGATGTGATCATGTAATGTGATGTGATGATGTGATGCAATGATGTGATGTAATGTTAAGTGATTATATAATGTGATGATGTGATGATGTAATGTGATGCGATGTGATGATGTGATACGATGATGTGATGTAATGTTAAGTGATTATGTAATGTGATGATGTGATGTGATGATGTGATGCGATGATGTGATGTAATGTTAAGAGATTATGTAATGTGACGATGTGATGTGATGATGTGATGTAATGTTAAGTGATTATGTAATGTGATGATGTGATGTGATGATGTGATGCGTTGATGTGATGTAATGTTAAGAGATTATGTAATGTGATCATGTGATGCGATGATGTGATGTAGGCAGGTCCTTCACGAGCGTCTGCAGTTCTGACAGCAGGTAATAGTGTCTCTTTTGTTGTCTGGTGGCATCAGACTGATCTTCACTCACACCGCAGTACGTGTCCATCCCACATTCAGCTTGTACATCAAGAAGAGCTCATAATAAAACAAATAATTCCCCTTTAAAATCTGAGTGAATAAGTATGAGTGGATGTATTAAAAATAGTTTTTGTTGATTGAAATAAAGCTGAAATAAAATAAAATAAAATATTAGATGAAGAACTAAGACAGAAATTAGAAATGTTGCCTTGGCAACTAGCTAAAATAAAATGAACTACAAAAACGAAAATATAAAACTATAACCTAATTTAAAATATTAATAAATACTATAATATAGGGCTGCACGATAAATCGAAATGGAATCGAGATCGCGATTCGACAGAAGCTGCAATTGTCATGCGTATCTTTCAGTGAAGCACGGTTCTGTGATCAGCAGGAAATCTCCATCCAAAGGCCAGAGGGCGCGCTCGCGCTGAAACTCCTTTTTCAGGATTCTTTGATGAATAAAGTTAAAAAGAACAGCGTTTATTTAAAATAGAAATCTTGTCTAACAATATAAGTCTTTATGATTACTTTTTTTTTTATCAATTTAACACATCCTTGCTGAATAAAAGCATTAATTTCTTTCAAAGAAAAAAAAGAAAGAAAGAAAAAAAATTACTGACCCCAAACTTTTTAACAGTAGTGTATATTGTTACAAAAGATTTCTATTTTAAATAAATGCTGTTATTTTGAACTTTTTATTCATCAAAGAATCCTAAAAAAAAGTCTCACAGGTTCCAAAAAAAATATTAAGCAGAAAATCTGTTTCCAATATTGATAATAAATCAGCATATTAGAATGATTTCTGAAGACATGTGACACTGAAGACTGCAGTAATGATGCTGAAAATTCAGCTTTGATCACAGAAATAAATTCTATTTTAGAGTACATTAAAATAGAAAACCATTATTTTAAATTGCAATAATATTTCACAATATTAATGTTTTTTTTCTGTATTTCTGATCAAATTAATGCAGCCTTGATGAGCAGAAGAGACTTCTTAAAGAAAACAAAAAAAAAAAACATTAAAAATCGTACTGATCCCAAACTTTTGAACGGCAGTGTGTATGTATACAGTATATTGGGAATGTTATATACTGTAGTATAAGGTTGTGATGTCGATGTTTCTGTGGTTACAGCAGCAGGACGCTGCACTGTGCGTCGCTCACCAGCAGATGTCGCTGTTCACTCAGTTTCTCATCAGCATCACTGAAGCCTCATCATCATCATCATCATCTCATCATCACCCGAGAACAGAGACAGAGGCATCACGACTCACGCACTGTTGCAATGACAATAATGCATTTAGATCGCATAATGACTACAGAAAACATTAACGTCACCGATGCATAACTGATCGAGTGCATCGATGGGCGCAGGATCAATGGATTTACGCAGATGAAGCCGGTGTGAAACTCCAGAGCGGATCTGATCATATCATCACCTGAACATCATGATATAGTTATTGCATTGAAGATATGCTTTATTTGACTTCTTTTTGGATCTTGCAGGCGACGTTATAATTGAATTCATGTCATGTCTTTTAGACTAGGTTTTTATCTAAGTGTCTTCAGCCCTCCTGATCTGAGCTTCAGGTTTTTGATCATGATGCTTCTCGGGGTTTGACCAGCTCTGATCCAGTCCTGCAGATCTTCAGTGACATGAGCTCCTCTCATCATGGCCAGAAACACTTCTCTCTACTTTCGCATCGTCGAGGGACGCAATCTGCCTGCAAAAGACGTGTAAGTTCACGCAAAAGAGCCTGGCTCTCATGAGAGTTATGCTACTGATCACAAATGTTTCCTGCTCACAGAAATATGTTTGGCTTCAACGTTGAAAACGTTATTTCTGAATGGTCTCTGAACGTTTTTTTTTTCTTTACTATCTTTTATTTTTTTCCTTGGTCATGCTGTTAATTTTGCAAACATTATGGGAACGTTACTTTTTAATGTCCTCTGTTATAAAACAATGGGAATGTTATCAGTGTTGGGGAAAGTTACTTTTAAAAGGAATGCGTTACCATTTTGCGTTACTCCCTAAAAAAGTAACAAATTACGGAAAGTAATGTGTTGCGTTACCTTTGCGTTACTTTTTAAATCTGGGCTGGGCTTGCTTGATTGTTTTTAATATAAAAAATTCTATTTTGGCAAATGTAAAAGCCCTTTTAAGCCAAAAGTGAAATGAATAAGCCTCAGGCTGGATGAAATGTAAATTCATGTCTGTACAGACAGAGCCGCTCAAACAAACCTCTCAACACAAATGTTATGTTTATTTAAAGTCATTTTTGCTTAGCATGGTTTAATTGGAGCATTGAAGTTCAGCAGCAAAGACATTGATAAAATGGGATTAAATACATAGAGGATATTTGTATTATTTAATATATTTAATTATTACATTCTGAGTTTGCATTTCACGGTTTTATACATTTTGAGGAATACTGGATCTGTTTTTGTGCAAGTGTGATGAGTAACATTGTGTTCACACACACACACATCTGCACTCACTCCTGATTTCTCTCAGCATGACGACAGGAGAGCTGCAGTCAATACATGAGAAAACTCAGATATTTCATTGTAAATTAAAAAGTAATGCATTACTTTACTTGCTACTTGAAAAAAGTAATCTGATTACGTAACTTGCGTTACTTGTAATGTGTTACCCCCAACACTGAGTGTTATTAAAGACCAGATAACATTGAATAAACGTACTATTAATGTTACTGGAAAACCATTTGTACATAACTATGACAGAATGTTCTGGTAATATTCCTATTAAGTTATGAAAATGTTATTTCTGAATGTTCTCTGAACGTTCAAAACATTAAAATGTAACGTTAAAAAAACATTAGACCAACATCCAACTAAAATGTCTCATTTATGTTTTAAACACGTTTTTTTTTTTTTTCTTGGTTAAGCGAACATTCCGTTTTATAATTGTGAAAACATTACAACAACGTTACTTTTGAATGTCCAGTGAACATTCTGAAACGATTAGTAAGTAGGAAAGTAACATTTGAAAAACTAAGTTCTGTGAGCATTGTATAAATAATGTTTTTGAGCTAACATTTCGAGAATGTTATCAAACAAATGTTCTATTAAAGTTACTGGAAAACCGTTCATAAGTATGAGAGAACTTGCCAGAACGTTCTGAGAATGTTCTCAAGTGTTTGATCTAGTACTCTGTCGTCATTATGCTGTTGACATGAGGATGATGTGTGTTTTTGTCAAGTTCTGGGACCAGTGATCCGTACTGCATCATCAAAGTGGACAATGAGGTTGTGGCCAGGTGAGTGTCACATTCTCACCTGTGTGTG